TCCAATGATCCATCCAAGCGGCCTGTCTCTCTTTTCCTCGTCAGTGAACAAGTGAAGAGAAGAGCAAGCAATTAATTTTGCAGAGTTTTAGCACTCCAAGTTTGCCACTCTTAATTTTAATGAGGGCACTCGAGTTCTGCACACTTCTAGCGTTCTAGCAGATGATAGGAGTCAGCAAAATTCAGGGAAACATGGTGGGCGTCAGATTAATTATTTTCAGCTTCAGTTGAGGCAAATTCGGTTGGGCAAGGCGTTCGAGCAAGACGTCTGCAAATTTCGAATAGAGTAACAGCAGCAGCAGCTTTGGTTTAAGAGTGTGATCTGTAGACATAACATACTTTGCATTTTCCACCTACAACTAATATTCATGAGAGGAAACTGTAATTAGACTTGGACCGGTCCAAGCAAAGCGAACGCTTCATTTTTCGCCTTCATCAGTTTAGTGACGAACCTTGTTTGCTTAATGTAAAGTGAAATTGACAAACTTTCTTTAACGTACAAGCAAACAAGAAATGGTGTAAACCTAGTTGGTTTCAATTGCTGACTTGCATTTTGTATATTTTGTCAAACGCTAAGGGTACAATTTGGAGGCAGCTGTGAGATTGACAAATAATTGCGGCCAATTGTTTGAAAATCAGCAGCAGAGTCATTGTGGGGTATGACCGAAGGAAAGCGAGAGCTGGTGGTCGAAAATAGGGGATTACTTGCAAATCTAGTGCATGCATGCAGGTTGCAACAGATCGCACAGCTTGTGATCCTCCATCCATTGTGATTATCATTTTTTTCTGTAGATTTGCAAAACGCTGCTTACAAAATTTTTAGGCCTGAATGAAGGAGTCGTCGGTCGGTGGGAATAGAAAGAGAACGGAGGTACCTAGACTTCCACCAGCAAATGCAAACTCTCTTCTCGTTGCAATTCTTTTTTCTCAATTTTGTGTTACTCGTGCGTGAACAGCGAAGATCAATAGTCTGCTGAATTTTTCAGAGTGTTAGTTCGTTAGTTACTTAAGTAGTGCTTTTTGGAGTAAATATGGTCATTTTGTTAACTTAAAACAACAGTAAATATGGAGTATTAATGCCACACATCTGCTCTCAAGTAGGCTGTGTTTTTCCTGGGAAACGTGTGGTTGCAGTTACAGAGAGAAAAAGAGAGTAAAAACACTTTTTCGACTTGTACAGCATTTCTGTAAACCACAAGATAAACTAAACTTGAAGTAAACTTTTGAAAAAGTGAATTGGGAGCTGGCTAAACTCGCCTTATTAAAGAATACACTTATATTTGGACATATTCATTTTTGAATTGTGACATTTACTGCCAATAATATGAAGCCTCACTTTGAGCCGATTCAACATGTGAGCTGCTGCGAATAATTTAATCACACGCATTGAACTACAAGGACGTACATATGCATGAAATGAAAACTTTTACAACTTTGAGGTTTACAATATGGCAAATGTTATTGGTATTAAAACACAGCAATTGCTCCAATGTCAGGGTTTTTTATTGCCTCCTGCCTGCCCAATGTGAGAGATTCACTGAGATTTGCCAAAAATGAAGATGCTGAGTTTATTGCACATTTTTCATTTTATTGCTCCATTAAATTCGGAAGGAAAGCAGTAACACTGAGCATTAACATTAGGCTGGTATTGGAAGAATGGTTGTTGTTTGTACTGCAAATAAACCCTTGTAAAAACAGAATATAAATAAGGAGCGAAACCAAATATGCTTCTTAATGTAATTCGTCCTGAGAGTTTCAGCACACATGCAGACGGACGGACGGACAGACAGACTAAGAACATAAACTGGATTTCCCCGTTTGCTTAATAAATATTACAAGACGTTTCGACTAATGTCCCTACATATATTTGACTCCTGGAGAAAAAATAAATTCCATTCCATGAGACATTATTCTTTCAAGAAGAAGAAATCTTCTTCCGGTTCTCCGGAATTTACGTAGGATGAAATATTTGATGTAAAAAGGGTGGAAATGGAAAACTGAGGATGCTATTATTTGTACGTATATGCTTCGCATTTCTTTTGATGAGGCTTGCTCACACTCAAGTACCGGCGTTGTGGGTCTCTCTTCTTCTGCAGCATTTGAAGAGTGGTAGTTTAGTCGGTAGTGGTTCGATACTTGGCGTGGACTTCTTCTCCCGTGTGAGAAGAGTTCAAGTGTGCCACCAGGAACAGTTCCAGTCGTCCTCATCGCATGGAAACCAACCCCCGTGCTTATGGCCGGTCTGCTTCTTCTTCCTGTCGACTTTTAGAGTGGATTTTGAACTTCCGTATTGCTTGCTCTTCTAAAACTTGCTTATTGACTGAGAAGAAGAAGTGGGAACAAGGGACGGAAATTCCCGGAAAGAACCCACTCGGTCCCGTGTCGGGAGAAGAAGAAGTCGTGGCGACTCTACTGGAATGGAACCACGAGGCATAAGAGATTTCCCCATCATCGCAACAGAACCAGCAATGATGAGAAAGAAGAAGTCGACGCTAAGGGATCGGTTCCCTACATTGGTTAAGAAAGATGTACCAAGAATCTTGTAGTGCTTGGCGGAAGTCAAGTTATGCATTTAAAGTCGATGAGTTCCCCAAAGAAAAGATGAGATTTCGTACAGCAGAAAAGAAGCATAATGCAGAAGGCGAGGTGCATAGAATGTTTTTGGATGGTTTCAAAGCATATAGATGGAGGAATAAAATTGAGGGAAAGCGAGTAGAATTGAGTCAATTGAGAGTGGTGTGAATGTGAAATACCTTTGGCTTCCGAGCGAAGAAACCTCAAAAAGTTCTGTTTGTGTGTGATTTTGATCATGGACGAGTTGCAGAGACGCCCAGCGTTTACTGAGCTGCTGCCTGTGACGCTATGTCTCATCTATGACTGAGGGTGAAGAAAAGTATCTCAGATGTATTTAGGTGTGGATCGATATATATCTGGGAATTGAAGCCTACGATGGATTTTCTGATATTTCTACGGGTGGATTGAAGGCAGAGAGAAAGAAATGAAAGAAAGGCGACGAGAGTGGGGATGGAAGTGGAAGGGGAAAAATGTTCCAAGCTTGGGAACATACATATGTACCAACAATTCTCATGGAGAAACTTTTCCTGGCCTTTAGCAAAAATCTTAACATCGTTAATTCTGATGTCCTCATTCCACCATTTTTTGTACTTATTGTAGCCACGAGTCAAAATGTGTTGCAAGTTGGCATTGATAAAGTTTGTACAAATCCTTGAATCAGTAACAAACAAGCATTCAAATTATAACAAACTTTTTTACGAAATCTGCAGCACATGCAAATGCATAAATGTTTTTCAACGATTTCATGCGATTTCTAAATATGTCCAAATATTATTTCCCAATAGATTTCACAAGTTTTAGGTTTTTGTTATGCTTGCGACATTTCTAGGAATGTGTGCATTTAAAAAGCTTAATTTTAACTTTGCGCCCCCTCAAAGGCACCGGATTGTCAGTTTTTTAATGCCTACTGTCAACTCCAGCTATTAGGAAATGTGAAACCATCAGAAGAAGATGCGTCGTCACAAATGAAGGCAAATATGGAATGAGTAACCCTAAATGTCAAGTTTGTCTCTCTCCAGTCCCAACGTGCACCCTTATTCATCAGTTTCCTCCTGAAAGAGTCTTTGTTAAAACTACTACTGCTGGCTGTTAGACGTGAAAAGTTCAATTTAGCTGCCCCACGACGTTACAGCTGAATTGCACTTCTTCTTGTTTGACGAGAAGCTCTTGTTGCTTTTGCTGTTACATATGCATTACTGGAGATTGAGAAGAAAATCTCCCATGCAACCCGTCAAGTTCTTCTCTTAAGAATATTGGCCATCTGCTCCTGGCTTCTTTTAAGGAAGACGCTCATTTCATCCTCCTCCTGGCTGGCTCACCAAAAAAGGGACGAAAACTAAAGTAATATGTTGAATTTGATGTTATGCTGCAAACATCAGCTCAGTCAGTCGAGGAGTGCATTTGTGATATTAAGTTTAGCTCTGGGAGTGAATGAACATGCTTTGTCAATAATATTTCAAAAATCTGCCGTATGTATCTAAATATCCTCAGCATTCTGGTATCCGAAGTAATTCCGGTGGCCTATCCGACTAATCCTAAATTGAATCCAAAAGTATTGGAGTTATTTATGGCGTTGTAACAGAGCAGAGAAATAGTAACAAGAAATGCATATGTTTTTTAAGTCTGAAATTCATTCATGATTGGACCTATAACAAATTGAAGTTAGGGGGACAAAAAATGTTTTATTGCAGTGCAGCCATACATACAGTCCGTCAGTTTCGAGTCGGCATGTGTATACATGGTTTGCTTAATGGACAAACAGAGACGTCGAAAAGTTAACTACTGACAAGATTTGTTTATTTAATGCACTTTATGAACTTGTAAATAGTTCAATAGTGCATCGTGTTGAAATGCTTGATTAAACTCGATCCCACCGAAATGAAGGGCTGGTTGTTTTCTTGCTTACTACTTAAAAACCAAATTTCCGTCTTTCTTTTTTTTATTTTGAGAACCATTAAATCTTGAACCAGAGTGGCTCCTTATTGCCCTCTCTCCCTTTCCACCACTTGTTTCTCAAAAGAAAGATAGACAAGTCGCTACTACTTCACTTTTGTACGCCTGCCCATTTCGGCGTCCGATAAAGCAAAATAATGACACCATGCTTTTAAAAATAAATGCAACTATAAAAATTACACCATCGGCGTTTTTGATAAATCAGTTTATTTTATTGGCACAATTTGTTACATTCTTCTGGAGAATTACTCGTGTAATGGAATGCGATTTTTATTGTGATCAATGTTCCAGGGCAAAAAATATCCGGTGACATTAATGTGTAAATATCATCTTCCTCGCTTTGTGAGCAAAAAGTGTGCACTCGTGAATAGATGAATTTAAGCAAGTGGAACTCTGATGCAGGATTATGTCTGATGATTTTAGTCAAGAAATATATTTTCACAATATATGCTAATGATTTATATTCTTATTCAGTTCCAGATAAACCCTCGAATTTGAGTGTGGCATGGGTTACGGATTCAATGATGGAATTGTCATGGTCTGAACCCTTGAAACCCAACGGGAAATTGGAAGGATACCGAATTTTCTATATGCAGAACAACTTTACGGACGTGGTCACGGTGAAAAGTCCGACTGAACATATGAAATTTGCATTGATGAACTTGGGTATGTTCATATTTTCTTTCATAATTTCACGATTTCCAATAAATTGACATATGTAAATTGTAAATCAAGTTCATGATTGATTTTGTTCTCTTTAATTACAGCGGCATACACCGAGTACACAATTTGGCTGAAAGCATTTACATGGAAAAACGAAGGCGAATCATCTGCAACAATTGTCGTCAAGACGGACGTGCGTGGACCATTTCCTCCTCGTATTGTAAATGTCTCATGTCTTTCAGAGGATGCTTTGTACATTGCATGGAATCGTCCCACAAAATTCTACAACACGATCGACTTTTACTATGTGGACTATCGAAGTGACCAATGGCGAGATTTTGAAGAACTTACTGTCAATGCCCATGCAGATCAACCTGATCATTCGGTATGTTATTTTGTTACAAAAGTTATAATATTGATGTGTTATACATTTTTATTTATTTTATGTGCAGATAACTCTTCAGAATCTCACAACGAATGTAATGTACGAAATTCGAGTTAGAGGTGGAACTCGCAGCGTACTGGAAACCGATAAAGTTTTCAAAGGACAGTACTCTGACTCCAAGCGGATTTTACTTCAACAAAATTGTGAGAAGACTCGAACTGTGACTCCGCTTCGTTCCGTCACGGAGTTTACTCCACAAGTTATAGCAATCGCTATCTGTGCGTCATTCGTGCTAATCTTGATGCTAATTGCACTTGTAATTTGGAGGTGAGTAATACTTTATTTTACCCACTGTGAACTGCACAGCTTCTGTTTTACTGTCTTGTCATTTGTTTGCAATGAAATTGTCGATGAGCTGCTAATGGAGAAGTGTATATGGATTTGTTGTATCTTGTGTAGGCGATGCTTCCAAGGTGCATACTACTACCTTGATGATCCTCCAAGGATCCCACCACTTGTCGGAGGTACTGGATGGGACGGAGATACTAATGATGAACTTAAACGAGCAATTCCAGCGCACCTCTTTTCCAAACACGTGTCCGAACTACATGTGGACGGCGATATAGGATTCTCGAAAGAATATGAGCTGATTCAATCTTGTTCTGTGCAGGATGATTTTTCATCAGAACATTCTCAACACCCAGATAACAAGCAAAAGAATCGCTACTTGAATATCGTTGCATGTAAGAATCATTTAGTCAATCATCGTCAATAAAAACTTACATATGTAATGGTTCGTTTCAATAATATGTCTATTATGTTATACACTTTATAGATGATCACACTCGGGTACGACTGCAGCCAATGCCTGGTCAGAAGAAATGCATTGATTACATCAATGCTAACTACATTGACGGATTCCGGAATGCCCAAGCCTACATTGGAACTCAAGGTATGTATTTAAATTGATGCGTCTCTACTAATATCCGGTTGTAACAATAACCCAACTTACTTGTTCACAGGACCCCTTCCTTCCACCTTTGATTGCTTCTGGAGAATGGTGTGGGAACACAATGTCCACATTATTGTTATGATTACAAATTTGGTGGAGAGAGGAAGAGTAAGCCACCACGACATTGTTAATGCTATAACATAGTTTTCTACAATTTGTCTAAACCTCTATTTGTTGTCATACGTGTATAGAAAAAGTGCGACATGTATTGGCCAAAGGAAGGAATCGAAACTTATGGAGTAATTCAAGTACGACTTGTGAAGGAGGAAGTAATGGCCACGTATATTGTGAGGACATTCCAATTGAAGCACTTAAAGGTTAGTCGCTGTTTCGGATTTGAAATTTGAAAGAATCAAACCATATTCGGACGGATGATTATATTTCCCATATAATCCGTTCCATAACAATATTTCTTTACGAATTCAAAATAATCATGGACTTGTCTTGTGCAGCTCGGCGGAAACAAGAACAAACTCTGTAAATTCCGATCCTGTCAAGTTTACCATTACACAAATTGGCCCGATCATGGCACTCCATCCCATCCTCTTCCCGTTCTGAGCTTCGTTAAAAAGTCAGCAGCAGCCAATCCAGTGGATGGTGGTCCGATCATCGTTCACTGCAGGTTCGAATTTGACTCTTAGATTTATGAAGAAAAATAGTATCATATCAATGTCATATTGATTTTTTAGTGCTGGAGTCGGTAGAACTGGAACATACATAGGTAAGACATATTTAGATACTGAACGTATGTACTGGTTTGAAGGTGGTTGAGCTATATTGTACATGAGTAAGTCATTCAAAAAGAGAAAAGTGGACGATTTATAGAGACCAATGAACAAGAAATTTAAACGAAAGTTCACAAGAGGGTTTACCAAAATAATCGTTAAATGTCATGGGGTCTCCAAAATTGACATCCCAACATTTAAGTAGAATACATATGTATGAGATATGTACTAATGTATATGCAATCACCTTCAAACCAGAAAAGTTGCAATTCAACCGCTACATTCATTTAATCTTCCCAACAGTTTTAGATGCGATGCTGAGGCAAGTTCAATCTAGGGGAGACTTAAACATCTTTGGATTTCTCAACCACATTCGGACTCAGAGAAATTTCCTGGTCCAAGTAAGTCCATGTCCCAAACTTGTATAATTAGATGAAACTGTTGTACATTGTAACAAATTGTGTTTTTTACATCTTTCTTAGACTGAGGAACAATACATTTTCATTCATGACGCTCTATTGGAAGGCATTGAAAGGTACCGAACTTCTTAATTGAAACCAATTTGAATTTGTGAAACATATGAGCTTTTACTAATTTCACTTTTTATGTTTCAGCGGAGAAACAAACGTGAACAAAACTTACTTGTCGCGGTACCTACACAGTCTTCTTTCTAGCAGCTACGCGGATGAAAAATCTGAAGTTTCTAGTCTACTTGAGAGGCAATACAAGGTAAGGGTAGCGATTTCCAGCCGAATAAAAAATCATCCGGTCTATCATATTATATATTAATCTTATATTGATTCGTCAATCTTGTTACAGCTCGTCACTCAGTTTACTCCCAAAGATTTTAATTTGGCATCTGCTCTCAAAGCGTCTAATCTTACAAAGAACCGGAACTTGGACTGTGTTTGCACTGATACATACAGGGTTGCCCTTACCCCCAAACCGGGTGTAGAAGGCAGTGACTACATTAACGCCTCCTTCTTTCCCGGTGAGTTTGATTGTATTATTATGTATTACTGTAGACGTGCGTACTCATTGATAATTGTTTATTTATAGGATACCACCGTTTGCAAGAGTTCATTATCACTCAGCATCCACTGGAAGCTACAACTCCAGAATTCTGGCAAATGCTGTGGGATCACAATGTTCAAATGGTAGTCGTCCTCTCTGTAAGTTATAGCACAAGTTGCTATGTTTTAAGAGTTTCGTCCTGTTGGCTGCACGACGGGATTTTTCATTTTTTATAACGGTTTAGTTTATTTCTAACATTTATGCATTTAATATGTCCATGTCCAACAGGTAATTGACAACCAGGAATACGGCACATTCTGGCCTCCACAAGGAGAAGATATGGACTTTGACACGTTCCGAGTCAAACTTGTCCAAGAATCCGACCAAGGATGTTTTATCATTCGGGACTTTTCTATTCAATCATTGCAGGATGATTACGAACTGAGCATTAAAATGGTCCAGTGCTCCCATTGGCCGCATACCATGATCTCTCCTTCGTCCGCTGTCTTTGAGCTTGTCACTTTCACACAAGAGTCACTCCGGGAGTCTTCATCTGGTCCAATCGCTGTGCTTGACAGGTAACTACATGGCTACTTATGTGTATCGACAATTTAACTGTACTTTGTGAAAAAATATTTCATTTGACGTGCTAGTTTCGTACCAAACATTTATTTTTATGTTATTTATAGATTTGGTGGAACGGAAGCAGCTACATTTTGCACTTTGACAACACTAGTGAAACAAATGAATTTGGAAAGTCATATTGACGTCTACATGTATGCAAAGCTCTATCACGAACAAAGACCTGGAGTCTGGAAAAATCTGGTAAGACACAATTTCTGCTCCCTAATATCCAACCTATTTTGCATTTATCCTGTGTATTACAAATAATTAACCTTTTATCTATCTAATTTTTTAGGACGATTATCTTTTCCTTTACCGTTGTATGGAAGCACTCACCTGTACGAGCAACGGAATTCCTCACACTCCAACTAGTCCTTCGCCATTACTTCCACCCTCAGGCACAGACCCATTTATTACAACAACGCCAAACATTCTCCCCCCAAACGGTCACATGAACGGAAGAATAATTCATAACGGGAACGGAACAGTCAGAGTTCCACCTGATGGGATGGAAACCGTCGACCACTCCGGTGATCCCATGGTGTAACCCATGTAGTAGTGCAAATTCCTCATTTGTGCAGCTTTATGTGTTTTATATTATATGGCCATATGGACAACAAAGCAAGTTGCTCTTCCCTGTGATATATAACTTAGACTGTGGTTTGTGCGTGGTCTCCCGTGTCCTATAGGCCACCCCCTGCTTAAAAACGTCAAGTCACTCGTCTCCTTCTTAGTGCTATTCCGTTCAAGTCAGCAAAATTGGATTCATTGATTGATATTTATAGGCGATATTGAAGAAGCTCACTTCACTGCGATGTGTAATCCCCGGTTGTCGATCCAAAATTCGAGTTACTTATTGCAATCTGACGACTCTATTAGGTTCCTACCATTGTGACACTTTTCTATCACATAAAATCAGTAACTTGTATGTACTTGCTTGCAAATGCACAATCACCCGTTGTGTGTAGTTACTACATATGCACTTTATACAAACGGAACTGTCAGCAATGCATGTCAGCATGGCGTAAAAATATTTATTTTTAATTGTATCAAATGATGAAACATGAGATTTATATATTCTCAAACACAAAATTATTACCTATGTATGTACCCAGGTACGAGTAGATGTGTATCTGGGTTTGTATAGTAGTTTCGAATTTACATACTGTGCGTGTATGTGAACAAAACGGTAACAACTTTCAGTTAAATATTTCTCAATATTCACTATTTAAAGCTGATGTTGTATTGTCTAACTGAAGAAGACAACGGAATAATTCTGTGAACATCAATTTTTTTGCTGTTTCTTAAAAAATAAAATTATCTGGCCGAGTAAGAACAACTCGATAAAATATTTTTTACCCTGCCGAGAATTAATGTAAATTTAGAACGAACTTAATCTAAATTTAAGTTAAGTACATTTTCTTACCAACTTCGTCTAAGTCTTAAATGCTCGATAAAGCCCTAAATCAGTGTATAATTATTCATGCTTGCGTAGCATCTAAACGCGTAATTGTTTTCTGGAGTCAACTAAATTAAGCAGAAAGAAAACTACGTTATTATTAACATATATATTATGTCAAGTGATTTGATTTATTAATAAGTGTGTAATTGCATGACACAATGATGACAAATTGCTTAGTATTATATAAGAAGAAAAAAGTCTGTCATGTCGCTTACAAAATATTCCAATAGTTGTTAACGTTTATCTGTTATTTAATCATTGCATTCTGTTACTGTTTAACATGCCAGCGGAAAGAAATATAACAGCGTCCATGTTATATTGCAACTTGTACATAATCCTATATATTTATCATAGTAATGTATCTCCATATTATGTGCAAACTAAACCCGTTGCTTCGACCTACAACACTTTATTTATATCGTTTTTTATCAATTCTTATACAAATGTGTTCTGTTGCTTATTAAATCAAGGTATTCAATGTGTATCATTTGTTTTGCTTGTCTTATTATTTCGAAATCCACACTGTTTCCTGGTGTCTGATTTTACGTGCAAATCTGCAATCTCAATGAAGACTGAACGATGAATGTCCAGAGTAAAATGTGAGGCACCCCTTGGTCCTCGCCTCGTCGTCACCCACCCAACCCAACCCCACCCTAACTTTAAGTAAGTAGCTGGAAAAATTGCATAAATGTGAATCTATCTCTATTGTCGGTGTCTCTGTAATGGCACCCACCACGACATAGATTCTACTCTGAAGTAGATCCATACGTACAAGGATTGAATTATCATTTTTAAATGCACTTTTACATGGACAGATTTGTAAATAAGTAATTAAACCCACACCACCCGCTCGGGCGATACAAGCCGGGCGTAAAACAATCACGAAACAAACTAATCTATATATCGACACGTTTACTACTGCAGATTTCAGTTTTGGTCAATCCCCTAGGTACACATGTATGTACATACAGATATAATATTAAAAAAATGCATAAGAAATATTGGCGACGACGAGAAAACTATAATTTTAAAAACTTTTGCGTGGATATAAATATGTAAATTTAGGAAAAAGATATGTCAAATGAAAATGTTTTTACGTCTGTATTTACACAAATTGAAATTAAACGTGACTAAAGTGGCGTAAATACTGCATAAATATACATAATATAATATTTGGTATTGTCGTGTAGCCCAATACTTATTTGAGGGCGTTAGTTATGATTTGTAGCTCTTTAGAGCTGCTAAATAAATGTATATGCAAAAAATATCGATTAACATTGATAACATTTAGATGGTCCGAGATGAAGAAGAGAACGAAGAGAGAGGCGAAGCATTTTCAAGAATGAGAAGAAATCCTGCTTTGAAGAGGTATATGTAGCTCTAGGATATGTATGGCATGCATAAAAATTAGAAAAGGGTATAAATTGATAACTTATAATATATATAAATGTCATGTAAACATAGCGATAATGTATTACTATTGATGGAAAACTGATAATGGAGCGATTTTGGTTGTCAGGTATCGTATAAACTCGAATGTCAAAGCTTATTAAAGCAGCAATAACAAATAAACGATCTGACGGAAATGTGTTGCTATATATAAAATGTGTGTTTATGTGGAAAATCAATTGCATAATTCGTCATTTGCGTAGTATTTTTTATTGCAATTATTACAAAAAAATCGTTCGATGAAGATCATTCATTCCGTCAGTCTATGGTTTTCACTTTCATAACATAAATATCAAGGGAAGATTCACACCCAGTAATTACATATGTCCAACACCAATTTCACGTGTATAATATCCAAGTGTCTTAACAAAATTACTGGAAATATCCCCACATGAAAATTGCAATGGCGACGAGGAAAAAGAGAAGGGAGATGTTTGTCGAAGTCAGTGGAAGTTTCATTACGCGGACATCCATTTTCAACGTGGACACAAACAGGAGAAACGAGTCGAGGTCTTGCTGGTCATAGTTTTGGTAGCCAAAAGGTCGCATGCGAACAAGATGTCCCAATTCACGAGCCTTCTTGAGTGAACTGCTCAGCTTGGCTCCCTAGAAAGATGGTAACCAAAATATTAATATGGGTACAAATTGTTCTCGCAAGATTTAACAAGTGCGTGCATAAAACTGTTACCTGCCAAAGTGGCAAAATGACTAGGAGAACCCACTGTGCACAGGAACACCAAGCCGTTAGTATGGCATACGGTTTAGCCCCTGGCTTACGTCCCAGTAAAAAAGTGACGCTTCCGATGGAGAACATGGTGTCCAATATGACGAGAGGTAGCAAACCACAGGCCAGCTCCTTATTTAAGTATCTCAGCAGCTTGTCAATTTCTCCAATTTCCTAAAATAGATAACAATTTATGGCAGAACTGGTTGGCATCGTCACACGTGCTAATTACTCGGCAGTAACCTTGATACATTCCAAGAGTGTGATTGAATGTTGCGAGATACGGTTGTGGATGAAGTCCAAGAAGATTGAGAGGAGATGACAGTGAATGCAGTAGCTAATGATCACGGTGATTTGGACTGCATCTTGCCAAACGGCAGAAAATCCCATTACCGAAGCCAAGATTATGGTCTGCTTCTCTCTATACATAAGTCATTTCAATACAAGATTTAGTTGTTATAATGTTGCATTTTGTAAATTTATTGGCAAACTACCACTTCAAAAAGTCACTGCATTTTTCCAGAGTAAACTGGTTTTTTGAATGTTAATATCATTTTGTGAATGTAGTCGCCTTCCGCGAAACGAACAATGTATTTTGATTCATGGATGTTATGAATGTTTCTCTAGTGCAAAAACCCTGATTCCTCTTTGTAAAGATTGAGAGTGACTGATACCCGACATTTCCATTCATTTCTATACGCATCAACATCCCACGCTAAACGTATGAAATCTAACATACGTTTCCTACCAGAGAAACACAATAATAAACACATTGTTTCCTTCAATAGGTGTCAACAAGGAGAAAATCAATCATTGGCAATCCAAACACGAGTAATGAAACAAGATGGATGGCGTATAAAGAGAACAATTGTGTTCACGCACACATAACACACGTGAATTGTATTTATCATTACATAGCAAATCTACAAACTAAGCTAGAAATACAATCCATGTACAAACTTTCTTTTCGTTGTGCGTAATATGCGTCAGTCACCCAGCAGCCTTTCTCTCGAGGCTACATGGCCCCATTAATTTTTGTCACTTTAATCTGCTTCCAGCATCGGGGTGGAAATGGGTTTCAGTCAAAATGGCGAGTTCATTCCATTACAATCAAATCAACGGATGAACACAATGCGTGTACGCAACGAAACATTCTTGATCTTCCTGAAGGCATACAAACAAAGTTGGAAAAGCAACTTTGACAATACAATTTGGAATCGAAGTACAATTTGGCATTATGTATACATTTCTGTACACGCCGTTTAGTTGGATGGAGGATATGACTTTACGCATCAAAATACATTAATGTCTAGATCAACAGTCGTCAAATTTCAAACCACATGGCACCGAAATTTTCAAGATGTCACCCCAGGGATATCCGTATTAATGCACTTAAAGCTTACACCGCACCACTTATTCCTACAAACTTTTGCACAAATGTAGTAATAAAGTTGCAAGGAAACGGCGGCAGTCGTATGCACGATATTTCTAAACGTCACGTCTCTGCTTTATAAGAGATGAACTTTTACATGCATATTTATGTATTTTGGGATTTGTATTCCAAATTCAACAATACAATAAAAGAGAAGAGAGACAGTAAAGTGCATTGTTAGGTCGCATGCCTTTGCATAGAATGGTATGTTGTATTATAGGTGCCACAAAGAAAAATCGTCCATATACAGCAGCAACCAACATTTGGTGTGTGTAGCTTGCTGCTGCATATAATTGGGCGCACGTGGTGAAAGTCAATGGTCAAGCCATGAGCTGGATCGTGCTAATGTAACAGAAAAACAAAAGAGGGATCATGTTAATGTCAAATGCAAAATGTTTCTGTGTACATGGCGTTTTGGAATATTGTTTGTACTGGTGGGATGAATGCATAGGCAGCATTTCATGAAAGAAAGAATAGCCTAAAATATTGGATTAAAATAAAAAATAGTGAAAATAGTGGAAAATACGAATTGCTAGATTTCAGTGGAATAAAGTAAAAGCCAATTTCATTATCACAATCCCGTGTAATTATCACGACAGAGCAAATTATCAAAGACGAAATATATTCCAGAGCGATGCGTATAACCGTACAACCCTTTCGTGGCCTGTGATTCCGTTCCTCGTAACACAAGATGAAGGAAGTTCTTGCTATAATTACGGAAACTTGATCCTGTTGCGAACAATATTGCGATGGAACCTACCAGAATGTGGGTCAACTTCTTCTCTTTCTGAGCAGGAAGAAAAGTGTTTTGTTATTACCAAAGTCCAGATGTGGTGTGGGTGGGTGTGAGACAAACAAGTGAAGAAGTTGGAGACACGTTTCCATTCTCTCATGTTACGCCAATTTTGCTAAAATCCTGAAACATGGGGCAGCACTATTTTCGGGAGCAAAGTCATAATGTATACGCAACTCCTGCTCATGTTTGCTATTGCCAAGTGTAAATTAGTCATGGAGTTCACGCTGCTGCTGTTTTTCTGGTGGTTCTGTTTTGCTAATATTAATTTGGGACAATTCCTTGCAATGCAAGCAAGAAGCTTGAGAAAAAGCAAACAAAATATTCGGAACATTTTGCACGTTCTGCAGTTTTGCCCTGATGAATGAAAGTGCTTACCAACTGTTTAGCGTCGCTAATATAACAGGCAATAAAATAGATGCATGATACTTTAGCCTTGCATTATCCTGTGTACTTCTTTAGTCCCATATGGTCTGTTGTCTCACGAGGATTGAATTTTCATCGTTTTTGTTTGGATTTATTGTCACAAAACAAAGAGAAAGTAACATGTAGAATCTTTGTTTAGGGGAAAGCTTCTACTTCAATCAGCGTTGAGTTTACCCAGTTTGCATGTCCACAAATGTAAATAGACTCACAGATGTATACATTTGCACGGATTAGGACTATGTGCATGCATGTTTACTTGGTCATAGCCACCACAACTCTAATATCCACGCCCACGCACGCATCAATGAATTACGAGTCATAGGGTTCACAGAGAAAAAAAACAATTTTCCCGAAACCTGGACTAGAATATATTATTTTACGACTATTTTCCCAGCTACAAATTTCTTTACCGCAACAAATCAGGATAAAAGTCATTTTACAGAGCTAAAAGTCTACCAAATTCCATTAACACCTTTCCAGTGGCATAAATTTAATGCTTTAGAGTAAAATAAACTATATTTTGATCCTAGTGATACCATTGGTATTGCAGGATTTTGACATTTAAAAACTGCAGTGATATAGAAGCTTTCGACATTCAAGAACTTGCACTTACTTAATTGAGGGCCAAAAATTGACTCGAATTTCACTAAAGAGAACTTGGAGTACGACGCAGCTCACGGAACAGATCAGCCAGACGGCACCAAAAAATACTAAAAACTTTAGCGTCTTTACCACTCGCTTCTGAGAAAAGGAAACACAGTGAGCTTGAGTGGCGTGGATGAAAACCTGTGTTAACAAATCCACAAAAAAGCAATATCATTAGGTAATTGTTTTGCAAACACAACAATTACTAAATAAGTACTTAACAATTAGTAAAATAATAATTAAGTATTACTCGCTCCATCAACGTTTGAAGCTGTTCATCATAATTGAACCAGTAGAGGCAGAGCATGTATCCGAATGCGGTGACGTGAAGAATACTGGGTATCAAATGAACATAAAATGAATTTCCGGTACAAATGCTGTGAAATAACAGCTCTCGCTTTAGAGCTATTTCTTCTATATCGGTGAAATTGGGATCCACCCCAAAAGGCTTTGGCGTCGTCACTGAGGAAGAAGGCAGTGTTATGGGCGTCTCATGATGATTCCCCAAAATCTCCTCATTATTAAAAATCGAGGTCTCACTGATCTCCATTAAGTTTGATGCGTTGTTGTTGAAAGATCCTACATGTTCAGGGTCACGAAGATGGTGGCCACGGAAAACGGGTTCGTAGTCAAACCCGTAATCGCGGCTGCGAATATGTAAAGAGAAGAACGACATTTTTAGATTAATAATCAATGAGAAAGTAACGATCTGTATGCCGATAACCCTTAAATAAAATCTCTGAAGAAATCATATATTCATTGATTTCTATGAGCATCATCACCACGTGCTAAATTAGATCTAATATTCATTATTCTGAAAACATGGTGTTTTTATCTATGTATTAATCCATATTTCTGTATAATATTGATCATATGCTGTAATTACGATAATTTGGGAAACCTTAATTTGCAAAATAGTTTTCTCCTCTATCCACATTCGCGAAATATTTTGCACTTCACTCGCTGACATTTATGTCTCGAATGTTGAAAGAAAATGAGTGTCATTTGGAAAGCACTTTGCAGCATTTACGATATGATATGGCACGCAAGAACGAGCAATTTCCTGGCCCTATAGTCAAATGCCAAAGAAATAAGTGCGCTTTCCCTGCGAAATTGCATCCTAGCTTCGCTCTCGCATACATTTTATAAGGTCGGGAAAGGGGAATATCTATGTACGTACAGCGTTTTAGGTTAATAATGTCGGTGGTATATGTAACAAGTAATATCTCACTCATTTTCAATCCCAGGCAGCTCATCATCCACTAATATATGATACAATAATGGGCTTTCTTTCAGTTTGCATGACGCTTGCTGCATGCATTAGCCTGACTAAAATTAAATAGCAAATTTGTGCTGATGGAATTACGAGAGTAGGGATTTGAGCTGGCTTACTTGTACACCGAATGGAAAATAATCTATTAACTTTTCTCTTCGGGGAGCATTCCTATATAAACAAATATTTATGCTCTCATCCTTTCGCACATTTCCGATTGGTCCAATTCTGTCGAAATATGGGAACCAGGAATAGTTTCGTGTAGGAATTTTGGCAATTTTATAATCCAGGCATGCTGCTCTTGCTGCAGCTAACTCGATGCGCCAACCTAACCTGTCGACCCCTGCCGATTACTCCCTGTCGTTATGTAATTTACTTTATATGCAGCACGATGTAAAAATGAGCTTCTCGACTTTCTCTTTTTTGACAAATAAAGTGCAGAACGCCAACAACAATTCCAACCAAGAATGCGGGGTGACAGGTTGTCTCGAAAACAAAGTTCTGCTCCCTGACTTTTACACTTGAAAGTGTTACGAGGTAAAAGTAATTTCGACAACACAGACCAAGCAAAAGGTCATATTTATGTCCACGTACCGAAAGCATGTAATAAACTGGAGCGTGTAACCAACAATCAGCATCAGGACGACGACGACAACCCAAAGTTTGTTAAGGACCTAAGACCATCACAAAAATAAATAACTCGATATCTAATCCAAGTCTATTAATTAAAGCTTTAATTTAAAAATAAAAGTACGCGTGAAACGGCGCACATGTCGTCATGAGAGTCTGCATTCCACGGTTTGAGGCCCATCACTCCCAAAAGTTTGAAATAAGGGTAGAGTATCCGTCGTTTGCAATATTGGAGAATTCCACTTATGTTTGCACACTCGGCTCCATCCTCGGGAATTATGGAGTCGCGAATTATGGTCGCCTGTAGTTTGCAAAAATGCAAATTATTTTAGCAAGTCACTTTTTCATATGGAGCGATATCTGGCTCCCTACGCACACAATTATGCATGCATATATTCCTAGTCTGAGGAGGATCCTCCAGAAAATTTCTTGCGTGAATTTGGCTCTGGAAAGTGGGTTGATAATTCACCAGTAACATAAAATTGATCCAAAGAAGGGCACGATCACCGACCATTTCAGCATGCGTCATGTTTTCGTACAAATATTTTTGCAAACATGCAAGTATTTAGTAATAATGTGGGAAAGCACTAAATTCCTTGCTTACATCATCACTGCTGAGAACACTACAGCCGGCCAAGAGGTCTTCTTTGTTGTTGTTGTTACGCGAATCGGGTCGGGGTTGATAAGCACCATCCCCGTCTCGTCCACCCGGTTTGGGCATCGTTGAAGGCTGATGGCTACGAGAAAATCTTTGAGCTTTTTTTATTCTGTCTGCTCTTTCATCCTGTTTTCGCCCATAGGCCATGAGTTTGTCCATCTTTTCTGCACTCGTCATCCCCGTCATTTCCCCAATGTCGACGGAAGAGGTCATGGAACAAGATAGGTCATTGTCGGTTGGGCTGGTACTCTGATAACACGACTTTGTCTGCTTCGTCTCTCTCAGAGTGGACGAACAGCAAGGTTCTGTTGATGACATTGCTTGTCAATTTGTCGTCGCCGTCGTCGTAAACACACTCCCCTTTTGTCCTTTTTGGGAGTACAAGATTACGTATGAGATATGCAATAGCACAAAATGTACACAAAATCCTTGCAAAAGTTCGTCACTGAGTTTTTTAAGTAATACTGATTCTGAATATTGTCTTTATTATTTCTTTATCTGAGAACTGTCAAACTTTAAGGAAAATTATATTGTAAAACAACCCACACGGTTTGTAACGTGATATTTACTTTGCAAAACTTAATTTGGTAACGACATTGACAATAAATTCCTGTATTTTATAACATTTATCCGTCTCTAGTTTTAGTCTAGGAAGGAAGACGAAATGCTCTCATCGTTATCCTAATAGCATGGGGAGTATTTAATAGTTAATAAACTCTACTCTTAATTTTCATCAACTACTGGAAAAATGTATATAATATAGTGAGTCACTTTAAGTGACGAATGATTATACTAGGAATTAGCATATCTTGTACCGGATTAATTTACATTTGAATGCATATGCGAGTCAATACTATGATGATACTTCAAAAATTGATCATTTTCATTATTAGTGGACATTAATTTATAGTAACCATTAATTAATTATGCTCATGTCTAGACAAAGTTCCATCATCATCATTTTGTTTTGAAAAAAAGAAGTTTCTAGAATGTCTGGAAAAAATGCGAGTTCAATCCACCAGACAGGGAGAAAAATTCTAACAATTGGGGGTGCAAACCATGTTCAACCCGGATTATTTTTTTACCACCTAAGCTTGAAAGACCACCTGAATAGAAACCTCATTTAGTGCGACACTTGCGCAGATGCGCAAAATTCAGCGAGTTATGGGCTTCCTAAGGTCACGAAAACGGTCCGTTTTGACGAGGAATCTACTCGAGAAACGTCTGACTGCGGTTGCAAGGCACACATTGCGCTCGAAAACTGAGCGTTTTCGCGAACTTGCTGCGCTCGTAATTCTCCGACTTTTGCGCAAGTGTCGCACTAAATGATGTTTCGATTCGGTGGTCTTTCAAACTTAGGTGATCAAAAAATAGTATGGGTTGAACATGGTTTGCGTCCCCATTTTAAGTTTTCACAAAATTTCTCGCCATGACGACCTCTCTCAGCTGCATTGTTGGAGAGACGGAGACGAGAGCAAATCAAATCACAACTAAAAATTCGAAGTCCAGTCAACACCTCTCCTCTCTCCGCTCTCAAAATTTTTGACTAAAAGTTTCCGACTCATCAAAATTATCGTAATTCTAGTATTTTATCTCGTACTCTTCAATCTTCCAGATAACTCTTCTCAAAATGTGTAAGCATACGTATATTCTGTTTCCAGTCATTTAATTTTAAACATTTTTCAATTTTTGACTGAATTTGCAACTTTTTCCAGTCACCTACTGTCCCCCACATGATTCAGTAGTATTTGGTCGACAACATTCGTTCCAAGGATATCTCCCATATCCATACGTCCCTAACTTTGGCGACGATCCGGCCAAAATTCCTGGAGGTGAGTTAATTTGTACTATATTTCATGCATTGTTGGAATCGTAAGGTTGAGGAAATTTTCAGTCGGATTTTTCATCATGTCAATTCATTTTTTTGGGTAGTGTATGCCACAGCCACCAAGAACGCTGCTGCGGCCAGTTTTGCTAAAGCGGCAAGAATTCGCCTCCCAAAATTGTTGCGTCTTGGAGCTCGGGATTTTCCCAAGATTTATGCTAATCTAAGTCTCAACTGTGTGGATTTTCTTTTTGGAGCATTTGGTTTGTTGAACTGCTATTTTTCATTTGATTGATTTTCGATTACTTTAAGTTTCATGCACTATGAAATTCTTCTATATTTTGTTTAGCCGGACTGTATATCGGCTTTCAAAATGGATATATCCAGAAGGGTCGAATTTTGAAAATTAACCGGCACATTTTTTTTCACAACGACAGTATTGAAGTTGGAGGAAAACCGGCCGATTGGGTTCGCTGGCTGCTAGGCGAGTGGTACGATGCGATTGATATTGGTTACACAGCTTTTGCTTATGCAATCGCCGGCGGCTGCACCCAAGCCCTCATGTGCACCCTGTACAGATCGGTTAGTTCAATTTTATTGTGTTTGAGTATAAGTGTATTGGGGTACAAGACTTTATTTATTTTCACTTTGCAGTTCTTCAGTGCCGATGGGAGCCTTATCCCGATGATGGGCACCTACTTTATCTTCAGCGCTGGAGGTAGGTCCATAGAAATTGAACTATATGGGTTGATTATTGCAAAATTATAATTTTATAGATAACAACTTTTATGGGAATTTTCAAACGTTCGCGAATTTACTTTACATCACCTGCTCATATGAGGCGTTCATGATGGTAGTATACAAAGGTAAAAATACGCACAAATTGTACACATTTCTTATTATTATTGAACAAATAAAATGAAAATTAACTCCAAATCAAAGCTATATTTTATTTCAACCATTTTTTAGGAAATTCGACCTATTGGATCCGGCATTTCTTGGAGCGATATGTTTTGCGTCCCTTCAAATACGGAATGTGGCCAATAAACTGGGCTCTGTGGCGTCCCTTTCCCCCCCCCTCAAATTTAAGTTGATTACATTTTATAAATCTGTTTTTATTGTCTTAAGAGATATAGCACGTTGTCTGTCCACGCCAAAATTGAAACTGTAATATGTAGCGATAAATTCTCTGTACAAGTATTTCTTATAAATAGTTATGCATAATGTAATATTACAATGATAATGATAGTATCGTACAATTTCTAGTCAGTGTAACTTGTCGCAAATGTGAAAAATAAAAAAGTGTAGTTTTATATAAAACAAAGTTTTCAAAAGTAAATGTTCGTCATGCATGATGGTGGTTGATCATGTAGCCTGCAACTTACAATTGTTAGTCATTAGTTAATTATGTAACATGCTTTATACTTTGTCTTTAATTTAGATGGGTAGTTAGTCTTAGTTAGTCTGAGTTGTGTGCCAAGCCAAATAATAAGCCCTCTCGAAATGATGATGGCACTCATATAATAACACACAAGAATTGGCGACAACTCAAAAAACAGGGCTGGTCTGTGTACTATTACGTACTTTTATATATTAAATGTGCCCATAATGTATTTTGCTGCTGTACGTTTTAGTCATGCCTGCGAATCTACAATACGAGCTAGACTAATGAAAATTATGCCATTCACGAAAAACTGCCAAGCACCACTCCATTTACGTTGTTTGCTTCAAACAGGAGATAAAGAGAAACGAAAATGAGAGGGATTGTTTGTCCCAAGAGCAGATAACAGAGAGTCGTTTGAAGTACAATCTTTGATATTAAGATGAGAGAGCATTCATTATTCTCCTCTCAATGGCTGTTTGTCATCAAAAAAGAAAAGATGTTGATGTTGGTTAACTCTGTCAATCATCGTCATTATCATTATCCCATATTTGACTTGGTTTTGTTACTCATAATGTGGGCTATGAGCTGTAAAAGGACATTTTCTAATGAAGGAAGTGGAAGTGCAAAAATTACGAATAATTCTCCACAAGTACAGACAGATACATCGTTCTCAGAAAAGGTGAGAGCCGGCGCAAGTATTATTAACCGAAAATTGTTAAATTTTGCCTACATTTTTGGGTAAGATTTAACCATAAAAAAGAAAGCGTCTGGTTTTGCATATTACTTTCAACCAGAGGAACAAGACCAAGAAATAAGCTCTCTGGAAATCTGGTGTTAGTTAAATAATATTTAGCAGAAATAATATTTATGGAGGAGCCTGATGGGCACAACGATTAAATTCGTTGGCCAAGATATTTTTTTACCATTTAAGAAAATAAGCAAGCATTATGCTGGGAAGCTGCTCAACTTGGGTTCTGTTTCACATTCACAGAGCAGAGGAAAATAGAGGTGATGACAAAAGTGTTTGGAAAAAAGTGAAAATAGATACTTTACAGTATCCCGTGCATCTCTCTCTCTCATGAATTGCATATGAACTTACCAATACGAACTGACCTGCCTCTTAAGCCCTCATGCAATGGATGATGATGATGTTGCAACAGCATTTGAAGACATTAAGCAGGTCTATCATCAATTTTAATGGTTTGAATTTAAATGCATGACGACCTGAGTGACTCAATTTGTATAACTTGCTACAAGTACATAAGTACAAGTATGGTTGGGCTTATTGCAAAAACCAACAATTCCTTTTTTGAGATGTGCATATAGCCTTGAACGTAACCATTTAACACCTTTTGCACAACAACGCAGTTTTACTTTGAACTTCTCATCTTTTTATTCTTCTAGTTGCAGACAGGCTACAAGATCAGGTATGGATTTGGCAGATGCTTTTACACTGTGTGTAACTTTCATGGAACATTTAATTCATGAACCACTCTTCTTCTTGGGTGGGTCTGATATTTGCTGCATAAATGTTACCAAAAACCAAAATGCTTAACAGTTTCGAGGACAAATTTTTTATTCATACCAGTAAAATTTGAATCAATTTATGCAAATTTACTCAAAAATGCTGCGTTTCTTGGAGAGAATTTCGCATATCGTCGATAATAACTTGTGTATCACCTTATCGTAACTTTCCTAGCACTTACAAACATACAAGTGCCTACTTGATACTTTGATACAAATCATGTTCTTATGTGGGAGTTGGAATGACATCATTGTTGTGAAATCTTATAGTTTAGTGGTTTTATATAAGATGGATTGGTATGAGAACTTCAATGATGATTGATTATTATCAGTTACATATTGGCCAACTCAATGAGCTATACAAATCAATTCATGGCACGATGAACTAGATAAGTTCATTCGGGTCGACCTTGATATATTTGCTTTTGAGCATGCTCATAATTAGCTTATTAGCAAAACTGCTGAGCTTTATTCATCGCCTTATTTAATTCAGTCCGTGCAATCTCATTCAGCAGTTTTTCTTCCACTTCATTCCTTTGTTTTCTCCAAAAATAAAACAAGAAATGTCACTCGCCATAGAATGCGGAGCTACGAGCTCTTCAGTTCTTTATATAAATTCTGAGGCTGACCCCCCTCTTGACATTAAGCGCTTTAAAATGGGTTCAGCAAATTTTAAAATAATGAGTTCCGTAGAGTTGGAAGGATTTTGTTGTAATATAAGGATGAAGTTGGGAATCCATGCTCCCGTTACCCGGGTAGGGATCGGAATGCCAGGGATAATCAGTGTAAAGGATAAACTGGTAAGTATTTAGAGGGAGAGGGATCCTGTGGGAAAAGTCTTTAGGGAGTTGGTGGTGGTTTCATCCGGCATCAATTCGTTATAATGGAATTCTATTCACAGGTAGTCGAAGACATGGTGAGAAAGATATGGCCAAAATCCACATCCTGGTGGGTCGGGAGTGACGTCGAGACGGCAATGGCATGCTTATCCATTCCTCCCAAAGGGGGGCTTAAAGTAATCGTTATTGGAGGAACAGGATCAAACTGCTTTGGAAGTGATGGGAAATCCACAATCAAAATCGGAGGCTTTGGACACCTTCTCGGTAACCAATTGATATTTTATTGTTGCTCAGAACGTATGTAATGTGATTTTCAGAGCTCATAAATATGTTTGCGCAATTTTATAGGAGACCGAGGTTCAAGCTACGCCATTGCTCTGAGAGCATTGAGGTTGGCTTTGCGTGAGTCTGAACATTCGGTTAGCTTGGAGGAGGAAAAATTGACTCATCCACGACCGGAGAGTCTTTTATCGCCAATTATGAAGAGGTTGAACTTGGATTCAATTCCTGATCTTGTCACTTGGAGCACAAATGCAACCAAAGTGGAAGTAGCTGGGCTAGCTCAGACCGTTATTGAACAATCGAGGGGAGGCAACGCCCTTGCACAAGGAGCCATTGCTCATGGTATGTCTGAGTTGGCGGAAGACTGTATCGCTTTGATCAAGAAATTTTCAAAATCAAAAATCGTGGAACTCGGACTAACAGGAAGTTTGTTCACAAAGAATGATGACATTGCGGACATGTTTACCAAATTGGTTAAAAACGGAATCGACAGTGACTCTGTGAATATAACGTTCACTACATTGCACGAAACCGTACATGGAGCATTACAGTGTCTGAATAACAACAACAACGATGACAATAACGAAGATTTCGCTCGCATGCTGATAAAAATGCAAAAATCGTGTTACGATGAAGAACAAGACGCGCCTGCATCTGGTGCCCATACCGAAGTTCAACTAGCCGAGAAAATTCTTCCAGTCTATTTAGGTCTTCCGCAAACGGAATGCCGAAATCCAAACTCGATGAATTTGGACACTATGTCAATAGGAGAGGCTGTTGATTTAATGATTTCTGAAGAGTCTAAGATCTATGATGCAATTGCTAAACAAAAACCGCAGATTGAAATCCTTATAGAAAAAGTTAGCTCGGCGTTGAAAGTAGGAGGTCGTCTTTTCTACGTGGGTGCTGGAACTAGTGGTCGTCTCGGAATTTTAGACGCGACAGAATGTCGTACGTAATTACTTCCCTGTATTCTATTTTTATTATTTAACATACTTTTTGAAACGTCTGAAAAATGGGGCATTGCGAAATAAAAAATAATTTTGCGACTACTTCCTGTTTCCCTAACTTAACAATTTTTTCGTTTAATTAAATTTTGTAGCACCAACTTTCCGCACTCAGCCAGAAATGGTTCAGGGGATAATTGCTGGAGGATTTTCTTCCGTGAGCAAAGCCAAAGAGGGGGCTGAAGATTCAATTATCGATGGAATGGATGCTATCAGAGAGCGATTTGTTAGCAACAATGATGTCGTTGTGGGTAAATTGCATTCATTTTTGCATATAATTTAGCATGCAAATTGGCTTAATGGATAAAAGTAATTACCTCAGATTTTTCGTTTAAGGCATTGCAGCAAGTGGAAGGACACCGTTCGTGTGGGGGGCCATGTACCAAGCTCAACTGTTGGGGGCATTCGCCACATTTCTTACTTTCAATGTAAAACTCGACATGAAAATCAAACCTGACCTCGTAATTGCGATGGATCTGGGTCCAGAAATTCTCACGGGTAGCACACGTCTCAAATCGGGAAGTGCGACGAAATGCGTGCTCAATATGTTGTCAACCCTGGCAATGGTTCGTATGGGGAAATGCTTCGAAAACCTGATGGTTGACTTAAATCCAGCCAACCAAAAGTTGAAACAGAGAGCTTTACGTATTGTTATGCTGATGACTAGCAATTTAGGAAGCGTAACGGAGGAAGTTGCGCGTCCCATCTTAATCAAAAACAAATATGATATTAAAACAACGGTACTGGAGTTGCGGAAGTTGAATTCATAGGTGTACGTACGCGTTTATAAAATGGTGAAACTCGCCAAATTAAAACATGTAACAACTGAAAATAAAAATATGTAATATGCAACTTACATAAATGTGTGCATTTGATGTATACCAAGTTGTTTATATTTTATTTTATTCATAATACCATCTCCATGTCCTTTTATGAGATGACAATATTGCGTACATAACTTAATTTGCAAGTTCACAAAACTACCACTCATTTCATGCAGTCAGTAATTTGGGCAACTTTTCTTTGTCCGCCCAACCATAAAATTACACAAGTACATCAAACAACCTTGTCAATGATTGGAATATTGATACTGGACACAATATTGTGAAGCATAATCAAATTTATTTAGGATTTTAGCATATAAATTACATTAGAAGTACGCACATGAAGCATTTTGTGTAGGTGGTGACTCCAAGAATTCTTATGACATCAGTCATCGTTAAATTCATGTTTGATCTCCACTTTTTCAATGTCGTCAATATGACATGTAAATTTGATTCTAGTTCCATTCTTGCTTTTTTGTGAAGGTTAAATCGCATTATTGAAATAATTGTTCTTTTAGTTTAGTTTCTAGAGTTTTATTTTTGTAAAAAATCAAGCATTATATTATATTAAAATGAACATTCGTAGATTTTTACGTGAGATGGATAAGGACAGGTTTTTGCATAATATATATAACGAGCAAAAACAGCGAGCCATATAGTTCAGTCAAGTTGAAAATGCAGACTGTCAGTGAAAAATGCGTCCTTCAATTTTATTAAATTTGATTTTGACGGCATCCAGATTTCTGGGAGTATGTGGAATAAAAGCTGTCATGCAAAATTAGACTCAAAATTGTGACATGTGAGGTAATTTTGAAATTCTAGGATATTATTATGAATCTGCAGAGTTTGAAGTAGTAGTAACGTACATATGTACATATAGAATCTAAAATACCTTGTATACATACGTGCTTATATTGATATATTGAGACGGAATCGTGACTCAATTTCAGCCTTGAGAGAGCCTGAGAGATGTCCAGTTGGTTTATGGTGTCCGAGCAGTTGGCAAACGTGATTTATGACACGGTCTATTTTTCAATTCTATGTATGTATGTGGCAAACTTTTTGAAAACCATGTGAAATTGGTTTGCGTTGGGAAACTAGAAATGATTGTTCCTGTTTGTAAGCTGGATAGCATATTGATTTGAACCAGGTTCAGTCTTATCTGGCCTTTTAACAATATCCTGACGAGATGAGACATGATCTAGTTGAACTGAAATTAAATTGTATTGCACTTTTGCAAGGATTGATTTGCTATGTATGGCTGACAAGACTTATTTCACTCACAGCTAATATTTTCACAGGGTGAGACACAAAAAAAGATTATTTATACAGATTATACTGTTTTAAAAGTGGACCATAAATGGCACGACTTATCCACTCCAGACACACAACGTACTTAGCAGCATGCTTTTTACCACCGTGGATAATTTGCCAGAGTCGAGAAGATCCCATGAGTGTTTACAAATGATGACCTTTTTGAAAAGCATATTTAATTTGATGCATTACTGATTCTTTAAGAATAATCACATTTTTTGGTGGAATTGATTATAAACAATATCAGGCTGATAACATAATTTCGCCACACATTCGCCAAGAATACGTTCGTCCAAATCTCACTAGTCGAAATTGGAATCAAAACTATATAAATATTTACGTTCTTTTGATCTTGTTTATTAATGTGCCATCAAATATTTATCAAATGCAATAATTTGACAAATAAATAATAATGTCCTAAATATTTTTAACACTAAAAATTAGTATATTATTAAAATTTAAAGTAGTACATTATGCATATACATTATGCGTTATGCTTATAATTAATTATTTTGCAACATTTTAAATACAAGTAATGAAAATTCAAATTAAAAAATTACTATTAGTTAGCTCGTAACATATCTTATAAATTATAATAGTAAATCAATACAAAATAATAGTACGTCTGAAAGATGAAGAAAATATTTGATATTAATTAGGATATACACTTATTTATCAATACGACGATAAATAGCTATTCTCTGACTCATAAACCTGTCAGCCTAATTTTTACAATAAAGTAGTCAGGAGTTTATTTGACTACTACACGTTACTTGACAATTAGTATAGCTTAGCTCGTAAGATCTCTTATAAATTATAATAGTAAATCAATACAAAATAATAGTACGTCTGAAAGATGAAGAAAATATTTGATATTAATTAGGATATAAGGATTTTAAACACTTATTTATCAATACCACGATAAATAGATATCCTCTAACTTATAAACCTGAAGCCTAATTTTTACAATAAATTAGTCAGTTTATTTATTTGACTACTACACGTTATTTGACACAGACTGAGCTTGATGACAAACCTCACTACTACAGGATAGACGTGACACAAACAACTCGGACATTTACAAGTTTCCCTAATAAATTCACACCATTATTTTTTAGGTCAATATAATGTTCCACTGGTTTAAAATCTTGCTCAAATTCTAAAGTGACACGAAATATCTGTTTTTTAATGTCCAGATTAACTAACTTACATTGTTGTTATCTAACACGACTTTTCAATTAATACTTGACTATTAGAGGTATCTAACCGAATTTCATTTCGTTAAGGCATATGTAAATTGAAGAGAGCGGTCCGGTCATGATGATGGTGGCTTGGCTAATGCGTCAATAGCTGAAAATTTAGGAAAATCTTTGATCCCCCACGAGGTAGAAGATCACATTGCAATTGGTACAGGCAAGAAGTAAATGATGGGTCTGGTCTATGAATAATGAAAATCTTAACGATCTTATCTTATATATTTATAATGATCCATAAATAAAAGTACTTACTGGGAGTAAGAATTTCCGAACATGTCTAGAATCGAACGGCGGGACAAGGATAAAACCATGAAATCAGGCAACTTTGACGACCTATTGAGACAAAAAACAATACGATATACAATCAATTATTAAATATTTTCAGACATACATAAGTACCATCAGGTAGAATTTCAGTAAACTGTGAATTCAAATGATTGATTAGTGCAGGATTTTCTGCAAGTATATAAGTAAAAGAAATTTAGAATCGTGTAGCCAGTGATCATACTAACTAAATGAAGCCTAAATTAATTTCGTGATTTCAAGTCCACGAGAAATGATTGGATTAAAAAGCAGTTGTAACTATTCACCTTTGGATAAGAACAAATAATTATTGAAACACTTACCCGTCTGATGAATTGCCACTCATGTCGACGTGTTCCTCATCCTCAGCAGTTGCCGAATCACTAACTTACCCTAATTTGATCTACCTTACTCAACTTTAATTATCAAATTTTAAAAAATCCAACTTATCCATCCTTCCGCACCCATCGTGTGCCTTCTCCATCAGAGAGTGGGACTCGTACTGGATAAAAAATGGCAGCTTTTTCTCATGCACGAGGATGTAATCCCTTCAAAATAAGAAGAGCACGGTGTGGATCAGTAACTATGTTTTTTTACGAGAGAGCGCATGGTGTGTGCCTCCGGATGCAAGGAAGTTGGAAGTTATTCATGATATGAATAAACATTCATAAATTCATATTTATTCATTTCCATGTATTACCTCATAAAAGGTGGGGGTGGTTTAGGGTCGCTTATCTTGCTCTTGTTAAGCTTAACATGAGTAGGATAATGAATCCCAAATCCAATCCGACTGCAGGTATGTCCAATCCAATCCGTATTTTAATGATTAAAAAAAACTTAGTCTTCACAGTCAGTCAGTCATAATCAGGATCAGAATCAACGGCTAAGAACAATAAGATGGAAAGTCGTCCCACATTACCATTCATATCATAACGCAACCATGCACCCATACCATGCGTTCAACAATTTAATTGCAGGGAAGCCAAAAATGGTCACATAATCCAACACATTCGTGCTCGATTAACACATGGCGTCGCAGGATTAAAAAACAGTGTCCAACCAATTCAGTCACCACAACTTAGATATTCAAGTTGACGCTATGTTGGCCAAGTACAACGTTACCAAATCAAGGCTTGCTTACTCCTTGATGTGATTGAATTGAACAAGTGAACGTAACAACCTCCGGCTCAAAACAAAGTTACATAGAAGACGACTAAAATAATTGTTTTCGAGTTTTGACAGCAGCCGTAGCTCAAATCAATATCGTATTTTCTTGGTCCTCCTCCTGCATTGCGTTATTGCATAATGTGAATACTATCAATTTTATGTCATTGGTATTTCGTCCACACACAATAAGTAAATTCGCGAAGGATTTCTTGGGATAAAATCTATATAATATGATTAAAAGCGGTAATTACTTTTCCATTTCAGGAGTTTATTATCATCCTTGCGAGGAAGTAGTTGTTCACTTTGGCGAACGGCCGCTTTAATTCCAGACCAATCTACCAACCAACTGCAAACTTTTATGTAATCACTCTTTTCCTCCGGGAATGGGAATCTCATCTCGTCAATTTATATATTCAAAGCGAGTTTCGAGAGTTGCACAGACCAGAAATAATTAATTCCTGGACTTAATCAGGGATAGAAACCAATAAATTCTCGGAATTTATTATTACACAAATATACGTATTCACTCCACATACTTATTATTCAAAATCCTCACTCTTAGATTCTATTCTAAGAAAACCCGTTACAAGAATTACCACATTTTCATAAAATGTTTCTTTCGTTTTTCATAAAACAGCATTCTAATTTAATGTAAGCATAATGTAATAATTACTGATTGAACGTCAAAGTAAATGAATGAATACTTTTGTAATGAGCAGTATCAGGAGCAGAAAGATGTACAATATTATGAGATTTTCTGCTAAAGCAAGTTCCCATACATCGACTACCGTACGAGAGAACAAACGCAATTTGAGTCTTCTTGGCTACATTTTATATTCGCAAAGAGCAGAAGCAAAGCTGAGGTTGGTAAAAGCGAATCAGATCTTCTTTGCTTTGTGCGATCTCTTCTCTATTCATGTCCAAGTCAACAAATCCTACCAACTAGCTCGAACCAACTTGAAGTTCTCAACTCGGAACACTCAGTCTTGATTTGGCCTTCTCCTCACTCACACCATCGCAAATACATCGCCAAACGTCGCCACGAACCGGAGTGCATGGAGTTTGCATGCAAACCTTTTTAAATGGACACTACTGTTTTACCCTTATTATTACGGGTTCAATTTTTGAGTGATAGTTTCAAATCGCGTGAACCAATTGTTTGCAGGAAGAACTTTTAAAGGTGGAAAAGACAGGTTGTAATACCTAATCTAAGTATATAGTTAGTAGTGAAGGAGTGTCGTTGTACCTTAGACAATCATCATTATTATAAACCCATCCCGTGCAACTGTAAAGTTAAAAGTTGGGATTTTCTGCGAAATTATGCAGACGGCGTAACGAACAAGCAAGGAAGTGCATCTCGTTCTAAAAATTATGCGGCTAAAAAGCTAATCCCGTCACCACAACTTTTTAAACAAATGCAAACATCGGAATACACATTTTGCAGGTGAGGTTTCAACTTTTCTTGGGGTTTGTCTCTCTTACGAAATGAGTAAATGAATGAAGGAAGAAACGTTAAACCAAAGACGCATTTTAATTCGACCAGTGAATCCCTTGTACATATAACACGAAAAACTTTTAAATATGGTCCGTATATATGTTTACTTAATCCACCTTAATCGTGCAGGTTTCTTGTCACTAATTATGAGGGAGAGGTTTGTCCCAGCAAATGGGTGGATTTTTCATACTAAAAGGTCGCTGGCTCGATCGTTTTTATAAATTTAGCTCCTAATTTCCTTTTCAGCACGGCAAATAGATAAATGTTCCCGAATATTATACGACGAGTGAGAACAGGTGGCTTGTTTTGACTTTTGTGTAATACAAGACTAACAAAGGATTTGAACGGCATGCATGACATTTGATGAGTCACCATCACGCTATAGGCTGTGTAACACGCGTTATTTTAATGTCCCCTAGTCATTCTTCTTCTAATACGTATATCTATACGATAATGTTGTGCATTAGCGATTCTCAACCTGGATAACAAGTGCCTACTTACAACCAACGATTTAAGATTAGTCAAAAAAAAGTAATCATCATTCGCCTCACTGCTGGCTTGCCAATGTTATAAATACATCATTTCGCTACTGCAAATATTTTTTGCTACATGATAATAAAATAGCTAGTCGGCTTTTTAAAAGATTTTACCACGTTAAAAAATTGTAACAGTCAAATCCTTATTACACTGAAGAGAATAGCTTGTGAGAAAGGTGACCTTTACATTTGAAGCAATTTGTGCTCTAGAGTTGTCATTGGGATGGAAGGAAGGTTGGTTTTATTTTACTCTCCTTTGAATAATTTGCTCGTCTAAATGGTCTAGTCAAAGTTATTACTACTCCTGGTTTCCCTTTGTACTTACTTACGATACATGCACCTTATTTGTATGTGTGTGTCGTCATTCACTGTCAGTCTCCTCGGTTCGTATCATAATTTGGTGCATTGTCAATTAGTTCAGACTTTAACGTGGACACGGAAAGACTGTGCTGTGCTTCATTGATTTAAGGATTGGTTGGAAAACTTGCTCACGTGAATTGCTATTTGCTATCTATTTAGCCAACAAGTATAAAACTAAAATACTTGAACGAGTAGTGTGACTAACGACGGAATGTGAACTAGTTGTCCTTCATTTTCAATAGTAAAAGTCTCGGCGTCTCTTCTTGTGCAATAATAGATGGATGCAGGCAGGCAGGCAGGCAGAGGTATGGCATACATTATATAAATAGAGAATCTTTTAGTGAGATTGCAAAAGTGCATTTAAATCGTGATGCTGCTTCTTATTAACATGGTCTCCCGTGCATCTGCCTTATCTGCTTGCTCAAGCAAGTGGAGTGATAATTGTAGCACAACAACACCAGCTACACAGACAAAACATAATAATATATTGCGAGTGTTTTGGACTATATTTATATAAAATATTGGACGCATCTTCCCTTTTTTACTAACAATAGGAGTTGTTGTACGTGGTCCACATTGGGTTTGGTCCATATATTTAGGTGCATCTATTTATTGCTTACACTCAAATCCATGTAGCTACCTACGAAGCTATCTATGCATAAGGAAGGATGAATCCCTGCCTGGCCTGACCACCTAAAAATATTACGCTGCACAAATTCGTGTGCTCTATTTCTCATACTCAAATCTTCCTTCCGCATTGAATGGATTGAAATTAACGATGTGCTAAGTGGGCAAAGACGTAGAAGAACACAGGTCAGAGTTTGTTTGCTCGGTGTTGTATTAGTGCCCGTTCTTTCTTTCTTCCTTGTTTGGCTGTCATGTCAGAAAAATAAACATGCACTAGCTACACTACATAGCTTTATGTGGTTAATGTTATCTGATCTGGTATGGAAATTTTGTGGAGAGATGCAAAGTGAATTTTGTGTGCAGAAATGCTACCCGTCTTAATAATTCTATCTACAAATTCTCCCTCATGAACTATACAATTACTATTACTAATGTTCCTTAGTTGCGCATATTGTGCTACCGGTTTTGTTTTTGGGTTGGTCCTCGTGTGTAATTGGCAGTCCATAATGGGAAAGGAAATTTGTTAAGACAACGCTAGTTCTGCCAAATCTGCAGATGTTTAATCCTTATTTATTTTAGGACAATGATGGTTCTGCTAATGTGTATGAAACGACGTGTGCTTCAGAGCAAGTTTGCTAGGTGTGGATCAGTACGCAATTAAGAAACAATTAGAAATTAGCTATGCTGTACGTGACCATGCGTTTATTGGGCAATATCGTTATTATAATCCAGGCATTTGTTTTAAGTGAGGATTGACTAGTGTTAAGAAAATTTGTTCTTCTTAGCAACATATTTACCTTTCTGCATAAATCCGATAATCTGTACTCGAACAATGTTTTGCTACATACACTTGATGACAAAATTAGATTGAGTAACAGCATTTTGGTTGTTTCATAATAAGCAGATGGCAAGTGTTTTTGAAGGACTGTGAGTAACAGGGATCGTACGATCATGTACATAGTTGCTGAATTGGTTAAATGAATTAATCTATACAAGGTTTACATACGTCGCAATTTGGTATGATATCGGACTCGTTAAATGTGAAATTATGTGCTACATCCGCTCTCCAATGGTTTCTAATCGTGCATTCTGATGAGCGAGTCAAAATAGTAACGGCAGCATTTATTTATACTCTGTGGGGCTGTCCAGCTTACGTATCAATCAATTTTAAGTTTGCCCTATATTGAGTATTTATAAATTGAATGAAAAGGTCGTTCGGACAGGATAACTGGCTGTCATGCTGCCTGCAGTTAAAAAACCTATATCTCATTATGATAGCACAAATGTGAAAGGATGATCAGTCCAAGCCATAGGAGTCATTGATAACTTCTTGGTTATGCACCACATTAAAAGTTGCTTGTGTGTCTGTAAGCTTTTATTCAGTTCTGCTCGAAATGCAAAAAGTGTATACAAGTTTAAGCATAACTCATGGAGAAGCCAATAGCTTCACATCGAAACTGTAATGGGACGACGGATCTTGTATCGCTGACGTTTTACACGACTTAACTAAACGCCAACTATAATTTTACT